GGCTGGGGTTCGGGGAGGGAGTCTCTCGCTCAGGGAGAGCATGTCGGGTGAGGCCGCGGCGCGCCCAGCGCCCACCTCCTCCTGCCCGAGCCCTTTCTGATTGACTCGTGTTGCCCGCAGCCGTCGCCAACGTCTACCCCGAGCCGGCCGACAAGAAGGCCTTCATCCGGGAGGCGCAGTACAACGACAGATACGCCTGGTCGTCCGCGCTGCCCGCCGTGTACGACTGGCCCAACGGCGTGGGCGTGCACGTCAGCAACGGACACCGGGCGTGAAGGCGCACCAGCACACCCACATTGGAGCAAATTCAGTTGTTTTGTGATACTAAGATTTTTGACTCAACGTGTAGTTATTAGCTGACAGGGGGAGGGTCATATTGATCCTCCGGGGTTATATTTACGAGTGTTGTGAGGGGCTGTTTGGTCCGGTGGAGTCTCATCTCTACTTACTTCTGGTGGAGTTTGACTTTTCATGATGCATCATTTTCACCTGCATGGATTGACGAGCCCTGGTCCAACTTTCCGGACGCGAGAGCCCTGGGGTGGTCAACTACGATCTCTCACTATACTTTTACTTTTGGTGGCCAAACATAATTTTGGTCTTGACTTTACTGTACATTTCATATTCATTGTAATTTATTTATTTTCAAAGAAGAAATTTTGTAGAAGAAATAGAAGTTAAATATGGGTTCGCATGGGAGGGGGTGGGGTGGGTCACTGTGATTTTGTTTGGATTTACTAATTAGCTGAGCGTTGTATCTCCTTTAATTAAAGATCATTCCGGCTCTGCAATAAAGTATGCCTGTGCATAATATATTGTTTATAGTTTACATAAGAAAGTGTTAAAACTATAGTTTGTATTTTTCTTTCTGACAAAAAATTGTATTTATAATAGATAAGTTTTATATATTTGGAGAGTTCCTCCATGTTATGTTCTTCCATGATTCTGTCCGTTTCCTTTATTACGAGAAATAAAGAACAAAATAGATTTTTTAAATTGTGTTTCATAATTATTTTATAATCAAAAATGAAAGATGCTGAAAACAGAGAACCGTGTCTCAGGGGTGCGACACCAGAGTCTTCGCTTTTTCTGTCACACACGGAAAGGCTGCAAACGTCTTACACATAGTATTATACAAACAACTTTACACGTCAATAGCACATGCTACTGTCGACGCGTTTCAAACACTTTTCGTCAACTTTCTGTCGTGCTGTAGTAGAAAAGGATAGGTTTTTCCCAATCTTTTACTGGCACCGACGCGACGCACTTCGGAATTTGCCGCGGCACCGCGGCCCGCGAAAAACCGACCGTCTTTTGTTCACATCTACAAATATGTTTCTCATACTTTATCTGCCCGGTGCTGAGTTTCTCATAGATATTTACCCCCCGTGCTTGTTCGTCGGCAACACATGTACACAACACACACGTGCTTTGCTCTAGGACATCGTTGTAGGTACGATTTAACTACGATACTCCTCGAAATTTGTTTTGAACGTCTTCTCTGTGAAACATCTGAAATCGGTCACCATTTGGAAGCTCGTCTAGACGATGCTTTTTGCTTCGTCTCAGCCCCTCGCACATTCCATGATGCGCTGAGGTTAGACCTCCCTCTCCCTGACGCTTGTGAACAGCATTTTAGAAGTGTTTTCCTTCTATTCCAGACTCTTTTGGTCCCAAACCGGCTGAACCATGTCTTTCCGAGGCGGTGGTGGACGTGGTAGAGGTATGTATCGCGGCATTGACCTGGAGTGGTTGCCGGCACAATGCTCTAGCAGGTAGTTGCGTCCTATTGTAGCACGAAGCTGTGCATTGTTAGAGAAGAGTATTTCAAATTTGCAACATTTCGAATCTTGTCCTGCACCACAGGTGTATGTTTAAAGTGAGACGTGGAATGTTGTGGTTGTGCTCTCTTCTATCATCACAACTATTCTTGAAGCAGTTTATGCCTCACTTTTCTGTTTCTTTTCCTGCCGTTTCTGATAGTGTATATTTTCTACAGGAGGTGGTGGAGGAGGTTTCCGAGGCAGAGGCGGTGGTGGTGGTTTTGGAGGCCGAGGGGGAGGAGGTGGATTTAACAGAGGCTTTGATCAAGGACCTCCTGAGCAGGTAATTTGTGAATTTTGATAACATCGTTCTCTTCCTCGTGGCAAACTTGTATAATTGTTTTTAATGTTTTCTTCAGGTTATCACTCTTGGTCACATGACACACACTTGTCAAGATGACCTTGTTGTCAAAGTTGAGATAGAAGAGGTTCCATATTTTAATGCACCCATTTATTTAGAAAACAAAGAACAAATAGGCAAAATTGATGAAATTTTTGGAACTATTAAAGATCATTATGTGTCTGTCAATCTTGGTGAAAATTTCAAAGCTAAATCCTTCACAGCCAACCAAAAGGTAAGATTACCATTTTGTTCCCTGACGTTTCTGAAATATCTCTTTGAAAGGAACCGCTTCTAATTCGCCTTGTGTTTGACGTTTCTTTTCCAGCTCTACATAGACCCTGCCAAGCTGCTGCCTCTTGCGAGGTTCCTGCCGCAGGCCCCTGGTGCCAAGCGAGGCCGTGGAGCCGGTGGTCGCGGAGGCCCTGGTGGACGAGGCCGAGGCGGTGGTGGTTTCGGAGGCCGCGGTGGTGGCGGCGGCCGAGGAGGGTTCGGTGGCCGCGGCGGTGGAGGTGGACGCGGAGGGTTCGGCGGCCGCGGTGGAGGCGGCGGCGGCTTCAACAACCGGGGAGGCGGCGGCTACGGAGGCGGCGGCGGCGGGGGCGGCTATGGCGGAGGCCGCGGGCGCGGCGGTGGAGGCTTTGGAGGACGAGGTGGTGGCGGTGGAGGCGGCAGCTGGAACAGATAAACTCAGAGGACAAATAGTGATAGTTTTTATTTTATTTTTAATGTTTTGGGAGGTTACTTATAGTTTGCAATTTCTTTTCCTAATGTTATCATCGTTTAAGTCAGTTCTGTGAACGTTGAGCCCAGCTAGCTTCTCATGTTTCTGTCCAGATTGAACGATTATTTTCATTTGTCTCGCTTATCTTACTGACAGTTGTACCCAAGTTTAGTGCTTTGGGTCCAGATTATTATTTTTTTCTGATCTAGAGTAAATCAGTTACGGATTGTATGAATTTTGACTGAGGTGAAATTGAACTATGACAAATGATTGATCTAAATTCAAAGAATTTTTATTTTTGATAAATGTACGTGTGGATGTGTACAGATTGTACACAAGTTTTATTGTGTACTGGTATTATTACCTTTCTGCTTGTTGTTGTTGTATAAGCTGATGTACAATATCAGTATTTGAATAAACTTCAAATTACAATTGTTGCTTTCTCATTCATTATTTATTAAAATAAAACCTTACTTTGGAGAATTCTTTTATAATACAACATATTATTAAGATCAATTTTCAAAATGTAAATGTGTAGCTTTCACAACCTCAGCCTTTCTCAACAGTTTCTTCTTTCCCCGTTCTTTAACAACTTTAACTTTATTCCCCAGTTTAGCCTCTCTGTCCTTAGATATCTTGTCCCAATAACTCTTCTCATCAGCACCTGAATACAATATGCAAATTAAGAAAATGACAAAAGATAATCAAGAAGAAAAAGTATTAAGTCTACTTACCACTTAACACTGACATATTTTTCCAAAATTTAATTTGAAGTAGATGCTGGGCCTCTGAAGGTCCAGAGCACCTTAGAAATGCTTCAAAGGCTCCTTCATTTACATCAACATATTGAACACCAGGCTGAGTTCTTGCTTCTGCCTGAAAACATATTTTTATATTAAATGGGAAAGAATGGATTTAAAAAAAGAGGGCACTATTTGCAAAGGTAGGATTTTGATTGAATAAGTACCTTGAAAGCTTTGAGATCTACCATAGGCTCATTGAATTTGACACACACAATGACTCCAGGGACAAATGTAACTCGTGGTTTAGGTGCATCAGCTGGTGGTGGGGGTGGCCTCATCTCCTCGTCACGTCCATGGTCTAGACCATAAGGTGGATAATGGGTTTGTCTACGCATAAATCGAGCTTCTAGCACTTGTTGTTTCACTTTTCTCATATTAACTCTTTGCATGTTAAGATACTTGTTCCTCAAGCGCTTCCATTCTTTCCTGCAAAGAAACAAATGAATGAAAAATAATGGAATATCAAGTGAGAATGAGTGTGTACTAAAGGAGGGGAAAACAAGTTATACTTTGACAGAACCACCATTCCATGAGCAAAAATTTCATATTCCTTGGGTCTCTTCTTCTTCTTACGATTCTTTTTTTTCTTTTTTTCAGAAGTGGGATCATCAGTTTTACTGTCTTGGCCACTTTCATTTGCACTTTCATCTGAAACAAATATGATTTGAAGTTGTATTATTTAACAAAATACCATGGTAAACAGGAGAAAAATCCAATAAAGCTGCAAAATACTTACCATTTTTACTCTCAATATCTGGCTTTTGTTCCACACTTTCAGTTGTCAATCGTTCCTTTTTAGAATCCTTTGAGTTATTTTCAACCTCTTCAGTCTTTTTACCTTTTTTATTTGCATTTTCCACAACATCTTCTGAATTGTCTATCTTGCGCTTTTTAGAGGATTTTGAAAGAGAATTGCAGTTTTCTAAATTTGTGTCTGGTGTATCTTCGTTTTTAATGCATGCAGAAGAGTCTTCTTGGCCTGGACAGTTTTTACTATCAGTTGTACATTCTTCTAGTTTGCCCGACTTGTGAAGTTCAGGGACAGGTAAATTTTGATTGTCAAATGTTTTAATACTACACAACTTTTCAGGCAACATGTGTGGTGACAAGCAGCTTCCTTTTTCTTTAAATATCTACAAAGAGAGTTTGATAAATAAGATACTTAGTTTCCAATGATTATGAAATGCAATAAATAACAGAACCTACACGTATGGTCTCCTCAGCATCTTTGGGTGTGTCAAATTCAACAAATGCAAAGCCCTTCCTTTGTTGAGTATTACTGTATTTAGGAACAGACACATAGACAACTTTGCCAAATTCAGAAAATACCTTTGTCAGCTCATCATGTGATATTTCAGGAGGCAAATTTTCCTACAAAAGAAGTAATGAAAAAAGTTAATAAACAAGTACAAGCTGGCCTAGACTAGATGTGTTGTCTCTTGTGAAACTAGGTGTAAAATTTACCACATAAACAGTACAATCATCCTCATTGTCTTTAATTTTCATAGGTGTTTTTCGTCGCACTTTCAGGGAGTCTTCAGATAATTCTAGAATCTCAGATTTTCTCACAGCCTTGGCAATTTCCTCAACAGTTGATACCAGTTTGATAATTTTATTAAATTTTA